TATCTATCTATCTATCTATCTATATATATATATATATATATATATATATATATATATATATACACAAATTATTATCGAGATAACTTTTTTTCTAATATTTCAAAAACCCTCCAATCAATTCACAGAAAATTTTCACACAATGTTGGCAACACTAAGCTGCGCAATCACTGAAATTTTCGTACTGATCTGCGCAATTGTGTGAATTGATTGAAAGGTTTTTGAAATATTAGAAAAAAAGTTATCTCGATAATAATTTGGCACGCAGTGTATATATATGTATGTGTGTGTGTGTGTATTTCTTGAACAATAGAAATATGTGAAAAAAAATTAAAATTCCATATATAATGGGTTGTTTTTTTAATGTTTTCGTTTTATTATTTAAATTTGGTTCATTGATTAGTTTCGGCCATTATGGCTATCATCAGATAAAAAAAGAAATCTTTGCTGGTTAGTAGCAGTGACCTACATTGTTAAATGACTGGCTCTGGAGAAAGTGAGCTTCGTCTGTAGTTTTCATTTGTTTTGTTTTTTATCCTTAATTTTGGTCAGTCCTTGTATTGATCAAAATACCTCATCAAGTTCTTTTAATGAGAGGCTGGGTGATTCACGAGACTCAGATTTGGCACGGATGGAGGAATCAGAGAACCGAGTTCGAATTCCAGTCGAGTTCATTACATTCAATAATATACTACATCTCTTCTCCAGCTACGGGTAAAGAGCAGAATAGACTTAGGTTAGAGAACAGTCGAGGAGAAGGACAACACTGAATTCAAAACCTGCGGAGGGTCGTTTGGGAAGCCTGTGGCATAATGTGCACCAGTCGACCGTATTCGGCATTTCCAACGGGTGTGGTTGGGTCTGCCTGCACAAATCTTCACCATTCCAGTCAAATGTTATTTATTGGTAGTAGTCTAGCTGTTGCTTCTAGGAACTGAACTGCTTGACTCTCATTCCTCCAAAACGAAGGGAAAGTCCAGTGTATATATATATATATATATATATATATATGTGTGTGTGTGTGTGTGTGTGTAATTCTACTGTATTTATATAATAATTCTACACATGTCATTAAGTCCATTGCTCTCTTGCTTGCTAAGCTAAATGAAGTAATTATTTCGCAATCATCTTTCTTTTCTTTTTTTTTTGTCTCTTCATTCCGTGAAACTCATTACTTCTCATGTTAAATTCAATGGATAACCTTTTCCTATTTCTAATATCAGATCTCATTTTTTTTTCTTTTGACAATATAAAAAAGCTTGCGTCAAACCTGATATACTTTATTTTAAACTTTTACAATTGCCTTTCAGGTGGCGGCCATATTTGTTCTGTTATTGTCATCAAAACAAATCATATATTTAGTCTCACAATCTTCTGTTTCTAATCATATCACCCCCAAAAAGGCAATGAAGCCACTAAGACGAAAAATTTGCTGTTAAGGACAAAGAACATGAAAAGAAAACGAATGAAGAAGATAGAAGATAACGATTGACATAGCATTTAAATTTTTGAAGATAAAAGTTGACTTGCAGACGAAACAAATGTGGTACTCGAGTGAAAAAAAAACAGCAAACCGCGCGAAGGTGATAGAAGAGGGATTTATTGCAACACAGAATAGACTACTGAAAGACAGGGAATCGGGTGGTAGGCTAGTAATTCCCGAAGCAAGGATATTTAAAAACCGCCCCACGCGGTCAGATGTGGCACTAGGCTAAATTTAACGTGAGGTATCGGAGCCCGTAAGTTCGGTCAAAAATTTCCCGTAAAAAACGGGATCGGAGAGCTATTTCCCGAGAAGAGACTCTACACTTCAACATAAACGCATCTGGGGATCCTCTCTCCCATGAGGGATAGTGTTTGACCAGCACACCTTGAAATGAATCTTCTACTAATTCCAGAAGCAAGGCTACTTACCTTACATCCCGCGAGGCAGGATGAAAGCCATTGTTTAATGCGGGGCAAAAACGTAGAATATTACCTTACCCCCGTCTCCAACGTATGGCAGGATGCGGTACATGGCTGTTTTTAATGGGGGGGGGGGGGTTTAAAATCGAGCCCGTAGGATCGGGCAAAATTTCCCCGTAGACCCTGTATAAAACGGGGTCGGGTATCTGTCTACCACCCAGACGAGACTCTGCCCTTCGGCATAGCCTCGTCTGGGTTCCTCTCTGCCCGAAGGCAGAGTGTACGACCAGCACAGCTGGAGATGAATCTTCAACTAATTGCCGAAGCTAGATTATTTACCTTACCTCCCCGCGAGGTAGGATGTGGCACAGGGCCTTCTTATTAATGTGGTGTAAAACCGAGCCCGTAGGCTTGGTCAAAATTTCCCCGTAGACCTCGTAAATACGAGGTCGGATAACTGTCAACCTCCCCAGACGACACTCTGCCCTTCGGCTATAGCATCGTCTGGGTTCCTCTCTGCGCGGAGGCAGAGTGTACGACCAGCACTGTTGGAGACGAATCTTCAACTAATTTCCGAAGAAAGGTTATTTACCTTAACTCCCCGCTAAGCAGGATGTGGGACAAGGCCGTTTTTTAATAGGGGAAAATCGAACCCGTAGACTCGGGCAAAAATTCCCCGTAGACGCCGTAAAAAACGGGATCGGGTAGCTGTCCACCACCCCAGACGCTCAAAACCTCTCGATCAGAGGCCTTGCTCCCGGATTTAGTTTATCGCCATACCCAAGACTGTCGCTTTGTTGAAAAAGATCATCTGATTTAAGTGAAGGGCTGCAAAGACTTTCATGACGAGAAATGATAATAGGAAAATTGTTAACAAGTACGTGTTTTATTTAGGTCTTCGCTTGTTCCCTCTTGGTAGTCACAACCTTTGCCATATCAGTTTAAAATTCAGGTTTCCACCACGACATATCCATCTACACAACTTGGAATGTAGCTGAGTGTACAACGGGAACATCAGAGCTATTCAAAGGACAGTTTGTCCTCAGCTAAGCGCCGATCAGAATTGTCCCCGTCGATAATATAAAGAGCAACCGGAAATAATGCATATCCGGTTTGTTGTCACTTAACCACAAATACTTTCCTTTACCTAATCGGTCTCTTCTCCCTCCTCGGTCAAGTAGGTGCCACTTCAAGAATCCCATCCACAACCCATAATTCTGGAGCAATTCAAATCGAGATAAAAAATCAAACTTTCCTCTTCCACGTGGGTGTTTCGTCCATTTTATCACATAATGATCTCAGTGGCGTTCTAACACAGCGTTACGAAATAAGTCGCCCAATAAATCATCATAATTATTCGTAAAAATACGCACTCGTGTATAATAAGCGGCTCTAAATACGGGCGACGGAATCTGGAGAGAAAAAAATGAATCGCTTATAATGTGTACTGACGGCTAGAATCTGTAGCAGCTAAAATGAAACTCAATTTTACTTTTATTTCCCGTGCCATCCAGTTTGAAAATATCCCAATTCATATACCTTGCACTATATTTTAAAACACAAAGTTTACACAGCATTTAAATCATTCACACAGATGTATTTACAAAAAAAAAAAAAAAAATGGAACATACATAACACGTTCGTGAATATTGAAAGCATGGCAAAGCCACCACCACCTCTGACACCATCGTAGCTTTGCAATGAAGCGTTCTTTTTGAGGATACATGACAAAATGGCTCTGTTAGCGATGACAACAAACTACGTTGATAAAATAGCGGAAACTGAATTAAGGTTTATTTTTTTTATACGGTCTGCAGTGAATCAGACTTGTGAATCGTGGCTATCCACAGCTTCCTAGCCTTCAATACTACTAAGTAATACTTCCTTCCTTCAGAAGTTTAAATATATAGATATTCTTTTAACAGAGAATGGCAAATATGACACCGAAATCGGAATTCGCGTTAGAGAGCCAAGTTCAAAGAGACAGGAATCTTTCGTTGGAGGTAAAGAAAAGATTGCTGAACATGTGATATCTATCCCCCCCCTATATGGCAGTGAACTCTGGACGATTTCCTCACATATAAAGAGCAAGGTGGAAGCAAGAGAAACGTGGTTCCACAGAAGGATGCTAAGAATTCCATGGACGGAGAGCGTGAGCAATGAAGACGTCTCGATGAACATGGAAACAAAATGGATACTTATTCGTTTATGAACGGAAAGGGACACCTCGAAATTCTTGAACTGATAACGAGGAAGGAAGGCATGGAGTATTTGAGACACACGGGACAAATCGGAGAAAAAAGAGACAAGAGGAGCCGGTGGCCCACGTATTGAACGCGTGTGAACAAAGGGAAAAAGGATATTAAAAATACAAGAATAACTAAAAGCTACAAACGAAAGAAAGATGTGGAGAGCTATGATTATTCACACCCGGGTATGGCACCTAATTTCCAAATCTGATTACAGTTTTCTGACTGTTAAAAACATTTCCTGGGTGTGTTAATTGCTGTTGTTTCCAGGTCCAATCTGAAACGGAGTGGTAACACCTGTTCGGGTCCCAGCTATGGGCAAATAGTGACCTCCTCAATAAAAATAAAGCATTATGAAAATATTAAAATACATTTATGTTTAAAAAATTACCAATAATACCAATTTATAGTAAATATTTAGTTGAACGCATAAAATAGTCTTCAAAATAATTAGATTTCAGCATTAAATATCACATAGAGGTGTTGATATGCCACTAAATAAAATCAATTATTCAACGAAACCAGTTCACGCCGTTATATTTGTATTCTTTTATGACTTGCAAATAATTGGTGCTGCAGTTATATATATATATATATATATATATATATATATATATATATATATATATATATATATATATACAAGAAAAAATATAAGAGAAACCAGGACATAAGAGAGATTTTCTCTGGTCCCAAATTAGAGCCTGTGTTAATGTATGTAAAATAGACCAAACCTGGATATAAGAGAAACCCGGATATAAGAGCTTTTCTCCGGTCCCGATAACTCTCTTATATCCGGGTTACACTATATATATATATATATATATATAATTCTCTTCGTTTGTATAGCTCTCATTCTATCAATTTATCTATCTATCTCATTTGTTCATCTATCTATCTATCTATCTATCTATCTATATGAGAGATGATCTATTTACAAACGAGAGAATAGATATATATATATATATATATATATATATATATATATATATATATATATATATATATATGTGTTTATGGGACCTTACCCATAATAACATAATGGACTATTCCATACGTAATAAATACTGCGCCTCAAGAGGAAGCAGAGATTTCCGTCTGAAATCTAGAGTTCAGCCTGAAGTCTGTCAGTCAGTCGGAGCGAGCGAGCGAGACAGTCAGTCGAGTCAGAGGCAGTCCGAAACAGATTCGCGTTCAGACAATTACTACTAAACCTGATTGTTCGTACTAACACTTTCTACTTCTCTGTATATATTCCTGTTTGTAATATATCTGTGTTATTCCATATCCGTGTTCGAGTTCTTCTTTATTGGTTCTACCTTGGACTATCACCGTGATACAAGGAACTGGACCATAACAATATATATATATATATATATATATATATATATATATATAATTCTCTTCGTTTGAATATCTCTCATTTTCTATCTATCTATCTATCTATCTATCTATCTATCTATCTATCTCATTCTGTTCATCGATCTATCTCTCTATCACTCTATCTCATTCCATTCATCTATCTATCTATCTATCTATCTATCTATTTCAAGCAGTACATGTCATGTTATTCTTTCTGTTCTTTTTTTCCTGCTTTTTATCACCCTCTTTCTTTCTAACACTTATATATATATATATATATATATTATTTTACAGTTTACTATATCTTTCTGTCTTTCTCTCTCCTCTTCATATAACTGTATCGCTTACTGCTTTATTGGCCTAGCTCGTTTGTGAACCGTCTGATTGCCCCTATGTATATGTAAAAGTTTTCTATATCCATCTCACTGCTTTTTCTTCCGCCCTTCCTCCATCTCTCTCTCTCTCTCTCTTTCTCTGTCTCTCTCTCTCTCTCTTTTCTTTCTATCTGATGTCGTAATCACTACCACTCCTAAAATCATCACCATCACCATCATCGCCTCTGACCACTGGCAGGCATTTATTTGCTGAAGGGATTACCCTCCCCCTTTTATCTGACGCCATCACTAATTACATCTTTGGCTGGCGGCAGCTTGGTGGCAGGGGCCGGTAACGGTAAGAGGTTTGCGAGTGAGACTCCCTATTCTTTCGAACGGCTTTGGTGGCCTCCTCCACAACCCGGCCTCGACCTGCGGCTAATGACCAATAGAAAGCGCAAGAAGTGCGCATGCGTTGTCACTGCCGTAAGTGGTTGTTGACGGGCGTACGGGAGCGTGAGTTGTTGTATAACCTGGAACGAAAGAAAGAATAAAAGAATAAAGAAAGAAAGTAAAAAATGGGAAAGAGCCAAGCATCTAACTATAATAATAATAATAATAATAATAATAATAATAATGTAAAGAAAAGAAGAATAAAATTAGGGAAGAAGGGTTTTGACGAGGTGAAAGAGAATAGACGAAAATAAACCTGCTAGAGGAAATGAAAGATAAAAAGACAAAAACGGGGGATAAGAAGAAAGAAAAAAGAAAGACAGATGGAAAAAGCGATATCGAGATGATAAGGAAAGAAATTATGAATAAGGAAAGAAAGAAAGAAAAAAGAATGAAAGAAAAAAGAAAGCATCCAATAATAATAATAATAATAATAATAATAATAATGAGAAGAAGAAGAAGAAGAAGAAGAAGAATAGAAAAATAACGAAAAAAAATGACATTAAGGATTTTGTGGAGATGAAAGACAATGAGTCGGAGATAAACCTGCTAGATGAAAAGAAAAGTAAAAAAAAAAAAAAAAGACGGGGAATAAGAAGAAAGAAAAAAGAAAGAAAAAGAAAGATAGAAAATAAAGAAAGGAATAAGAAAGAAAGAAAGAAAGAAAGAAAGAAAGGAAAGGAAAGAAAGAAGGAAAGAAAGAAAGAAAGAAAGAAGGAAGGAAAAGAGGAACTAACTAATCATCTAATAACACATCTAATAACATTAGTATAAATATAACGAAAATAAGAAAGAATGTAGGGGTACGGGAGCAAGAAAGAAAGGGAGGATGAAAGAAAGGGAGGATGAAAGAAAGGGAGGATGAAAGAAAGGGAAGAGGAAATATAGGGAGGATGAAAAATAATAAAATGGAAGAAGAGAGAGTTAGGCAACGATATAAAGTTTAAATGAAGTGATAAGTAAAGAGATAAAAAAAGAAAGAAAGAAAGAAATAGAAAGAAAAGAAAAGAATGAATGAAAAGAATAATGAGCCACTCTCTAGACTATAGTAATATTAAAAATAATATGACGAAAAGAATAAAGGCTTTAGGGAGGATAAACAGAAGGAAGGAAGGAAGGAAGGAAGGAAGGAAGGAAGGAAGGAAAAAAAATAAGATAATGAAAGAATAATTAGTTAAGCAGGGGTATAAAGTTTAATGAAGAGAGGAGTAAACAAGACGAGAGGAGAGCAAGAAAGAAGATAAATTACAATGAAAGGAGACTGGCGGAAGAGGGCAAGAAAAAATGAAATAAAATTATTAAATTAATGAATCAGAAAAAAGATAGAAAATGACAAACAGGAAAAAAAATATAAAATGAAAATGAAAAAATGAAAAAAAGAGACGTACAGAAAAAGAAAAAAAATGTAAAAAAAAAAAACAAAAAGAAAGAAGAAAAAAAAAGAAAAAACGAAAAAAACGAAAAATTACGTACAGAAAATAAAAATAACATGAAAGAAAGAAGAAAAATGAAAGAGAAAAAACGACGAAAAACGAAAAATTACGTACAGAAAATAGAAACACAATAAAAAAAAAGAAGAAAATGAAAAAAAAGAAAAAAACGAAAAACGACAAAAATAGAAAAAATGAAAAAAGAAAAAAATTTTAAAAAAGAAAATACAGAAAAATAAAATGAAAAAATAAAATGAAAAAAAACTACGAAAAACGAAAAATTACGTACAGAAAAGAGAAATAAAATGAAAAATAGAAGGAAAAATGAAAGAAAGAGAGAAACGAAGAAAAACGAAAATTACCTACAGAAAATAGAAATAAAATGAAAAAAAGGAGAAAAATGAAAGAGAAAAAACGAAGAAAAACGAAAAATTACGTACAGAAAACAGAAATAAAATGAAAAAAAGAAGAATAATTAAAGAAACTACAGGAAAAAAATACGAAATATAACGTAAAGGAAATACGAATGAGATTAAAAAAGAAGAAAAATGAAAGAAAGGATAGAAAAAAAAAAACGAAATATATCGCCAAGAATAATATTAATTTGTTTTCATACCGCTCGTCAACCAATTTTGTGCTAAATAAAACAGAAACATATATTTTGATAGCAAGAGATTTTTCTTTGCTAGTAATTATTGCATTAAAGATTATTTGCAGAATAACAGTGATTTTTTTTCCAGATACAAATCCTACTATTTAATCCATAGCTGGGGGAGGAGATGGATTAATATATTTCTGAACTCCAGTTGTTATCCTCACATCATCCGCACATACTTACGGAAAATAAAGATAAAATGAAAAATAATGAAAGATATAAAAGAAGTCAAAGTCTATAGCGTGAAAATCTATACTTAAACGAATGAAATTATAATATATAATATATATATATATATATATATATATATATATATATATATATATATATGTGTGTGTGTGTGTGTGTGTGTGTGTGTGTGTAGTCGTCCACAGACACTGTTTCATATATCACAGTTCATCAGAGAATCTATTCATTCGATCGATATATATATATATATATATATATATATATATATATATATATATATAGATAGATAGATAGATAGATATGTATGTATGTATACCTGTGTGTGTGTATTGATGTAATAGGAAAGAAGACTTGGATTAATAGCGGAAAGTTCGTTAGTATTTATGCTTGTATTTTTATAAACAATGCTCCACACAAAAGAAGTGTTTAGGATATTGCTTCAATTAGTTATTCTGAAAATCTCTTGAGAATGAAACTGTGCTCAAAACTTTAAGTTTAATATTGAAATTAATATTTAGAACTTGAGTAAAGTTTCGTAACAATAATTTCTTTGTCACAATGGAATTATATTTAAAAAAGAAATAATTATATATATATATATATATATATATATAATATATATATAATTAAAATATATATATATATATATATATATATATATATATATATATATATATATATATATATATATATATATATATATATATATATATATTCATTTGTTATATATTAGCAGCATGATTTTGTGACCCTGGTTTTCATGTTTTTTATATCATCAGAAAAACTGGTTTATTTTAAAAAATTAAATCTATGCTTATTTTGTGTTTTATTGTGTTTTATTTGTGTTTATATATATATATATATATATATATATATATATATATATATATATATATATATATATATAATAATTTTGGATTAAAACCAACAATTATTTTATATATATTTTTTGCGTATACATTATTTTTACAGATACCATATATTTAAGTAAATTTTGCGTATTTTTTTAAAATGTCTTAATTACATTTACTGAGTGATCGAGAAACTTCGAAGAAAGTATGCATGAATCGAATCTGTATTCCTATACGGAAATTGTCATTCGATCTGACTAATATACCATTTAGTTACATAGAAGCGCCTGCCTAACAAAGTCCAAATTATTGATTAAATAAATTATACCTATAAAAAAATGCATGAACAGAAAATATATTAAACTCAATCCATATCATTATATGTTGTCATTGTTTACGTTAAGATACGTTTGGTGAACTGATCGATCGAGGAAAATCGTCGTAAATTGTGTCTTTACAAACAGTAATTTGGGCATTGATAACCGGTGGCTTCTCTGACTGTTTCCGCATAGGAATTTAATTTCTATTCCACTCGGAGAACGCATATTTTCTATGAAATCTGGGGAACATTCAAGCCGGTAAATGTAATTAATACGGTTTAATATAAAAAACAAATCATTTACTTAAATAAGCTGTATCTATAAAATAATGTAAAACTGAATATATATATATATA